CCTGCCCTCTCCCCTGCTATGTGCATCCTATCCCCTCCCTTGCCATATGCACCCTGCCCTCTCCCCTGCTATGTGCATCCTATCCCCTCCCTTGCCATATGCACCCTGCCCTCTCCCCTGCTATGTGCATCCTATCCCCTCCCTTGCCATATGCACCCTGCCCTCTCCCCTGCTATGTGCATCCTATCCCCTCCCCTACCATGTGCACCCTGCCCTCTCCCCTGCTATATGCATCCTATCCCCTCCCCTGTCATGTGCCCCCTGCCATGTGCAACCTGCCCTCTCTCCCACCATGTGCATTCTTCCAAATCCTATCCCTTATTAGACAACTGTGAACATCCCTTTTTTTTTCTGTTTAGTTCCGTGTCTGATCAGCTCTGTTCTATGTTCTAAATGCTGAGCCAGGGAAAATATTTTCATAGAAATCTAACTCAAACAGCCTTTTCTGTACCACAGCATGAAATTATTCACTAAAACTTTTAGGAGAACAGAATCACTAAAAGTGTGAGTAGATCTTAATCAGACCTTGTGGACCCTCCATAAACTAATCTGACTTTACCATGACGAAAGTCCTTCAAAATCTGTAGAGCAATAAAACATAATAAGGATATCATTAATAAATGGCTTGCTTATTTATGAATGTTATAATCTTGAATTTTTAAAATTGGTTTAAAATTCACATAATTATTATGCCATTATTCCCAGCTAAATCTTGAGAGATTCAGTGACTTGACACATGCAGTGCTGGACTCAGTGTTAGGAGGGCCTGGTTTGAAAAGTAGCCTCAGGTCACTGTGTTGTGTTCTTGGGCAAAACACATTGCTCTCACACTGTCTCTTTCTGGCCAGCAGCTCCAGCTGGATTAACTACTTGGCTCAAGTGCAGACTGGATCAATCCAAGACCAAGTCTGGCAACTTACTGTCACTCAATATTTTAATGATCGGCATTACCTTCTGTGCTTCCTCCATATAGTTTACATTGATGGGTACAACAACCTCCTTGATCCATGATACACTGCAGTGTAAAATTATCGCTGTTAAGTTGGATATTATGAAAAAAAAAAAACAAACAAACAAAAAAACATGGCACAAACAGTATTTTTATTTAAAATTAAGACTTTACTTTAAGTTTTTCCCAATGATGTTTCCATTTTCTGCCCCTCTACATTACATCAAATACCTAACTGACCAGGGTTGTTTAGTTAAGATGGCTAAGTTCCTGCTTTGATCACTTTTCCCTCACTTCATGTTCATAGAAGACTAAAAATAACTAGGCTAGAATCTAGAAATCTTGACCTCATATCTAATCACTAGTGCACAAATATAGACATCCCTATAGCTTCACAATACATGGGTACCTCATTGTTTGAATTTAGATGAGTTTGGAACATAATTTGATGTAAAAAACACTTACCTTTCAAATGCTGCCAAGGTGTAACTGATCAGTGGCCTTTCTTTTACTTGACAAAACTGAAAAAAAAAAAAACAGTCAAATAGAAAGGCCATATACATGATTTTTGATACTGTCACACTTTCAAGCTTACTTTACGTAGCAATCTTCAATACACTGACAGTTCCCGCAATATTACTTGCACATTAGATATTAATTTTTATCTCAAAGGCCACTACTGCATATGTAATGCTTTTGCAAAGCCTATCTTAAACAGCTCTGCAGGCTGCAATGATAATTCTGATTAAACCATCTAATTCCACGGGAAACCCTATCCTGCCCAACCCACCCCCACTAATCAACATCCACTTCTTATTGAGTCGTGTTTCAATGCAATCAGTGCCACGCAACATGAAGGTTTCTCCATTAGGGTGTTTTACTCCCCTTTGTTTGAGGTAAATGTTTACAAGCACCTTGCAATGTACAGTAGCTTAATCTAAGGAAACTACATAATATCTTCAATTTTCACTGCAATGACTAGGCTCAGACAAATAGTGCTGGCATAATTCCGAGCATAATGCTTTAGTCAGAGCATAATACATCAAATTGGATTCCTAGTAATTTTATAATTAAGTTTCCTTGATCTTCTTCAGCATACATCTTACATGCCATTTCTATCACTTTTCTGTTTTTTGGCATCAAGGACCTGGTTACTACATCTGGTAATCATGTTTGAAATACTTATTTTGTCTTTGTATGCTTTGTAATAATCCCTGGTAAGTTTTCCCCGTCAGTGGCGAGAAGGAGGGGAGGGTGTGGGTGGAGGGCCAGGGGCTATTTAACGCTCTCTGATAAATTAAATGGAGCATCAGGGCTCGACACTAACAGTAGCCCACCAGCCACAGACTAGTAGAAATTCGGTTTTGGCAAGTGGTTTTCGATTTCCACTATCCAGTTTGGCTAGTAAACAAACTGAAATTGTCTTACCATCTAATATTTCACTAGCCACTTGGCTAGCAAGTTGAATAGTTAGTGTCGAGCCCTGCGCATAATTAAAAATCAATCGCAAAATTTTGGGCATAATGATATATTTTCAGAGATGACGCTCAAAGACACAATGCTCGAATCTGCGAGCATAATATCTCTGGCCCTACTATTACAATGCATTCCGATATTTAACAACTGTGCCAAAGACGATATATACTTGACAAACGTAACAATTCAAATGCTTCTTTTAACGATTATTGGATTTTTACCTGTTTAGGTAGTCTCAAGTTCATTCTCACTCCTGATCCACCCGCCGGTAACACAGCCACAACGTCAAAACACACCGTTACCTTGCCATCCCCAACAGCCGCCATTTTGCTTTTGAACACGCTCGCTTTAGTCTTCTCGCGGTACACCACTTGTCTTCTATCACCCGATTCGCCTTTAATCTACCGCTTATAAGCGAATCTAATTATACCAAATTACCGCATACATGCTGATAAAGTAGGACCTATTTACCTACCGAGACTAGATTACCGAGAACAAAACAAAGGCCAAAACAAAAGAAAACAAAGGAAAACAAAACAAAGGAAATGATTTCAGAATGTTTTTCTGTTCTTCAGTAATCTTCACGCGTGGAATTTTATCCATGATCTCTTTTTACCAGATGTAAAAGCGATGAATTTTCCTCTTTCGCTTGAACCTTGCCACATGTCAAGTGCGACTGCGATACCGAAGACATTCTGAAATCATTTCCTTTGTTTTGTTTTCCTTTGTTTTGTTTTGTTTTGGCCTTTGTTTTGTTCTCGGTAATCTAATCTCGGTAGGTAAATAGGTCCTACTTTATCAGCATGTATGCGGTAATTTGGTATAATTAGATTCGCTTATAAGCGGTAGATTAAAGGCGAATCGGGTGCTCCCAT